TCTTGCAAAATTTTGAAAAAAGTTAAAAACTGAAAATGTCTCTTCCATCATTAGAGGGCAGGTACAGTCATGCGAAATTTAAAAAAGTGGAAATTTAAAATGTACCAAACAGATTTTAATAATACCAAAAAATATTGAAAAAATGTAGAAGGAACAAAGTGATTAAATAAAAATAAGCAATTAAACAATTAGAAGAAAAAAACAAGGCATTCCTAGCAAAGGAGAAGAAAATTAATTTAAATTTATAAACTTATCATATTCTACAGACTTAAAATTTGATTGAAGATCAGTGTGTTGGATTTAAGGAATAGTAGAACACCACAACCAAAAATTGCGAGTATATAAGATGCGTAAGGTGCTTCCATGGCCTACGTACAAGCGTTCAAAAGTTTTGCCAAAAATATGGTAAAATGTTTTTCGAGAGCGAAAGATCAAATCAAATTATTAGATTTGTTTATTCGATATATATAGTTTATTTCTCATGATAAAATGTATCCTTTTCCATTAATTGTTATCTACAAATTGTTAACTGCATGACATGTGTTATTTTCTACATTTCTTTTTCCTTTACCATACTGGATAACCGATTCTCCTCCACATTATTGCTACTTGCAGGTTCCTTATCAAGCAAGTTTTTTTTTAAAATTTTGTTACGAATGTATAATTATTTTTTGCTCAACATGCATAAGAATTTAAAACATACACTATTATTTCTTGTATTTTACTTTTAATACTGTTTTCGATTTTTTTAAAAAAAAGACTATGGAAATCTATTCCACACTGTAAAAAATTCCGGATCATAAGACTTTATAAGTTACCGGCACCTTCGGCGAATCATCCGTAAAATCTATTTTACCGTAAAATATTACACCGTAATTTTTACAGTAATATTTAGTTAATTAGAGAGATTCTATGATTTTACGTTAATTATTACAGTAAAAATCAACGTTTATCACATATTTTGAACCGTAACATGTTCCGAAAAAAATTTAATTTTATGATAAAAAGGATCGGCATCCGGTGTGACAGTGCTTGTAACCGTAATTTCGTTCGAATTTTTTACATTGTAGACCTTACCAATATAGTTATAAGCAACGAATTCACTAATTCAAAGAACCATATTTTATCTCCTGAAACCACTGTTTTTCATTTTGACCGAGCAGAAAAAGTAAATTTGTATTTTTCGATTTTTAGTTTACCAACTGTCTTTTATTTGTTATGATTAATAACATTCCAAATTATAGTTTTTATTACAAAAAAAAAATCTCATTAAAATAGTTGTTAGAAAAAATTAAAAATTAAGAAAAAAACTGTCTTCAACAAACTGATTTCACCCATTTCAAAAACTGTAGAAGGTGAGGTTACGTAAACACTTATCAAAGGATAACGCCTCAGAGAACTGTATTCACAACTGCACCAGAAATTAAAAGTGCGGTAAGAGTAAAGTAAATTACCATAAATTTCTAAAATAGAATATCAAATCTCTTTTGAGTACCAAAAACTTTTGAACACCCTTCCCCATACAAATCTACCTAACTCCCCATACAAGTATACCTTAAACAGTCAAGCCTTAATTTCTAAAATGCGAGTTACTCTTACTTTAACAAAGCTTAATATAATGCTTCCGAAACAGTTTCCAACCCCCCCCCCCCCATCTGAATATTTCCAATAACCAACCAGAACTTGAGTCTGAATTAAAAAATAATGACAAATACAATTACGGGAAACAAAAGTCATATAACTTACCGGTACGTCCCCTTCACGAAAAATTTTTGCTTCATATGTTTTTTCACTGGAAAAATAAAACAAGCAAACTTTAATTTGATAATGAAATGTGTACATACTTTAATATTATTTTTCATTATAAATTTTAGGTTTTTAAAAATGACTTACAAAAACAAACAAAAAATTAAGATACACAGTTTAATAGTTAATAAAATTTAAGTAGTTATTTAAAAATTTAATGATTCAAATTTAACCTACTAACGGTTCTGCACGTAAAAAGTGGTATTTTAAACGTCTTCTCTGCCTAGCAAAACCGGTTATTCCATGTTAATAGATTGGGGAATAGTGTATAGGGGAGAAACGTTGGTTCTAGTATTTTATTGTATTTATTCGTTCTAGTATTTTATTGTAACCATGATGTAGTTTTGTTTTGTGTAGCTGGCATTTTCAGTGGAAAATTAGTTTGTTTGTATCCTGCATGTCTTCATATCTGTCTTTGTGTTAAGTAAGAAATATATTGTGAGAGAATTGAAAATCTTCGTGAAGAATCTATGCTGAAGAATCAAACCTATATAGAATGTATCATTTAAGAGTATGGATTCTTGACGGGCTTGGCTTACTGGAAAGAGAATGGAAAGAACTGTTGCTAACGCAAACAAATTCCACGCTTCAACAACAAATTAGGATCGAGATATCCACACAGCGTCACTTGCTGAAATCCCTTTCATAAATTTAAAATTATTAGATTCAAATTTATTCAGAGAATTTTTTTTCTTCTGTAAGTTAAAATAAAACAAAAAATATATTTTTTGAAATCGAAACGAACCTAAACGATATATTCTTTTGGGCTTCAAAATTGTAAATATTATTCTGTTTCCAGATTGGTGGAAAGTAAATGCAAAAGGGAAATAAATAAAAATAATAATGCTAAATTTTATTACTTACAAGCAAGATTTTCTACCACAACGGTTTATACATCTTTCTTTAATCGGATCCAAATTTATTTTTTGTGATAATTGCCCTATGTAAGGATAAAAAAATATATTAGATAATATTATGATTTATTGTTTTTAAACTATCTTAAAGACACATGATAAAACCTACAGAAAATGGAACGATAGCGAAAAAATTCTCTGTGAAGATAATATAAGAAAAATGGTTGCAATGATGCATTGTAAAAAAAAATTGCTGTAATTTTTACTGCAGCTCTAATTGTATTTCTTAGAGCACCGGTGTTGTAACGATAAATGGAATCAGTTTTTCCAGCGCAATCAGTTTTTATTTTCAGTCACGTGTGCTGGAAAACCAATCGGAACTATTTCTTCCGACAAAACCGTTTGCTGCCATTTTTATTCAATTTTAAAACAATCCACGTGGTTTGCTCGTATTCTTACTTATTATTACTCGTATATTTACTATTAATTATATTATTCACCGAAGAGCCATTACATTATGACCACCCTCCATCCTATAACAATGGGCTCGCCCAGGTTTTCATGGTTTCTCGCCCAGGAGCAATGTTTTCATGGGGCACATTAGGACCCATAATTCTCATAGAACAATCCCTGACGTCTGTAAGCTACTTGAACATAGTTACAGACCAGGTTCACTCATTCATTGGAACAGTCTTTCCTGCTGGGGATGGTGTTTACCAACAGGATAATGCACCATGTCATAAGGGTCGAATCGACATGGATTGGTTCGAGGAACATTCATGTGACTTTCAAGTCATGTCTTGGCCCCCAAATTCACCTGATCTTAATCCAATAGAGCATTTGTGGTCCTACTTGGAAAACCAAATTCGTGCTACCGCGCTACCCCCTCGCAATGTGAGAGAATTGTAGGACCAGTTGGTGAGCGCTTGATCGTATGTAATCGGTCATAATGTAATCGGGGTATATTTTATATATATTATTTTATTTTGTATTAGAAAAGCGGTAACGGGTGAAAATAAATTGAATTCTGTTGAAGCTGTTAGAATTCCACTGTAAAGCCCAAATTTGATTTATGAAACTGAGAAACTTAAAAAAGAACATGTGTTATTTGAAAAATGCTACAAGATGAATATACTTATGACAAGATTTATTATTGTTCAAGATAATTGTACAGATAGTATAAAGGGAGTTTTTATTTCTATCCATAATTTTTTGAATAATAATTGTTTAAAATGCAGTATTTATATTTTTACAACGATTAATTATGGCTTTAAAATGATTAAATTCTTCCATGCCTTTAGATTTTAGCAGTACTCTGGTTGTAAGGTTTCGAGCTTTAACTCTATTCTCAATTTGTATTTTATGAGGTTACCGCATAAGGCATTCAATAAATATTCGATCATCTTCGATATTAAATGATAACGGATGATATATATCATCGTTATTTGTTTCCAAAGTATAAGTTTATTTTTTTGTGATAATATCCCGTTAGTTAAGCTTTTTAAACCTATATTACTGTCAGTATGTAGTGTTTTTATGTGTATTAAAGCATAAGCGCTTCAAAGTAGCTGAAATATTCCCCACAAAATTGTATTGTATTGCTACTGGCTTTGTCAGGAAATGCTTAACTCCGGAATAAAGAAAATAACGAATAATCAAATCAAAGCAAATTTAAATAACATTTTTTTATATATTATTGAAGATGTAAAATTGGGATATTAATAAAGAACAATCAAATTGTATCGTTTTCTTTTCAAGAAATTCAAATAATGTGTAAAATAAATTGCTCTTTTGATAGAAAATTTGAAGACCGCAAAATATTAAAACAAAATAAGAATGCTGTAAAAAGAGCTCCCCTTCTTGCTGTTATAAATTAAAAAGTGCTAAATAGGGAATTCAATAATCATTTTAATAACGAAAAAAAAATCACGGCTAACTCGTATAGCCAAGAAAACTCGGTTAAGGCTAAGAATATAAAAACGGAAAGAAAAAGAGTAGATTTAAATGTAATATATTTAATAAATACAAAAGTTATACGAGCACACAACATACGATTCATATTATAATTAAAAAGTCTATTTAAAAACACTTAAAGAGGATATTTTACGAAAATTAAAGAGTTTTTACCCAAAAAAGTCCTTAATCGATTTTTGTTTTACGAGGCTCATCTATATTTATTGGCAGGAACATATTTATTGGCAATAAGTACAGCAATGTTTCAGCTATTTTTTAACATAGCCACCACCAGAATTGAGACACTTGTAGTATTGTGGGATCTATTTTTGTATCCCAATGTCGTAGAGCTCTGCTACCTGTGAATGGAATCAGCGTGTGACAAACGTCTTCAGCTCTTCGTCGTTGCCAAAATTCTCACCTGCGGACAGGAATTTCTTGACGTGCAAGAAAACGGGTAAATCGCTGGGAGCAAGATGAGGGCAGTAAGGTGGATGATCAAACAAATCCGAGTCAAATTTCGTCAAAACAGCTGATGTGCGTCGAACTGTATGTGGACGAGCATTGTCATGGAGGAGCACAGCTCATGCATTAAGCATTACACGCCTCTTGTTTTCAATGGCACGTCGCAATTTCCGCAGTGTTTCACAGTAACGGTCAGCGTTTACTGTTTCACCACGTGGTTCCATTCACAGGCGGCAGAGTTCTACGTCAGAGGGATACAAAAGTTGATTCCATGGTACGACAAGTGTCTCAGTTTTGATGGTGGCTATGTTAAAAAATAGCTGAAGCATCGCTGTACTTGTTGCCAATAAATATGTTCCTGAAAGTATGAGTTCTTTCTTTTAAAAAAAAATAGGGAAACTTACTTTTTGGATGAGCCTCGTACTTTACCTTGGCGCTTTTCTGGCAGCAATGTTTCACCCTTTTTTTATTGATAACAGGAAGGCTGGTGTCGCTTTTTCTTGTTGTTCTATATATTCAATAGTTCGATAGCTTTCAGTCCATCTGTTCAAAAGTCCTACGCTCTCAAAGGGGCGAGAAATTTCCCGGCCAACTGCTTGTTGGCCAAATGATGGAGTTGTCCAGCACAGCGTTGGCGCGCTGAATACGACCCCGACGTCTGTGGGATGGGTAGAGATGCGAGTCGATAAAAAGCATCGTACTACCCATCAGAAAGGAGGGGCCAAAATTTTGGACTCGAAAAACCACTCTCTAGGGGTTTCCCTAGGGAACAAAGGCTGGATCCAGCTCAGATAACCATGCTATCGCATGCGAGGTCGTGCAGAAGATCCCCCGACATCAGTGTGGCGGGCGGGCCCGTTGTCGATAAAAGACGGGGCTGATTAACGTCTAGGTCCGGGATCGCGGCTGTGGAATAGCCGGATTAGTAACCACACTGAACCACTAATGAGTTAAGGGTCTCTAGTAGACCTATGATTCAGGTGACGTGCTGGCGGACTGTTCAAAAGTCCTTAATCATTTTTTGTTTTACTTTACATTGGCGCTTTTCTGGCAGCAATGTTTCGCCCTTTTTTTATTGATAACAGGAAGGCTGGTGTCACTTTTTCTTGTTGTTCTATATATTCAATAGTTTGATAGCTTTTAGTCTATCTGTCCAAAAGTTCTTAATAGTTTTTTGTTTTACTTTACATTGGCGCCTTTCTGGCAGCAATGTTTCGCCCTTTTTTTTACTGATAACAGGAAGGCTGGTGTTGCTTTTTCTTGTTGTTCTATATATTCAATAATTCGACAGCTTTCAGTCCATCTGTATAAAATATTTTTGAATGTTGATTTTCATCGTCACTGTCTTCAACATCTTCGCTAGATTCATTTTCATTACTGACGATATTAACGATCATTTCATCGGACTCTACTGCATTTATGAAACAAGAACTGTCGACTTTGCGTTGCATTTTTTTAAAAGAATCTTTTGTCCTACAGTAATTATATATACNTTACAGATTTGTGTGTGATTTTGTAGAGTTGATTAATATCGATTTATAGGCCAATTTCCTTTTTTTTTTCACTCCGCTTTTATTCAGCTTGCAAAAAATAAAATTTAATTAAATTAAAGATTGCTCATACCTGGGCACATTGCTTCCTCGTGAGGTATAGGAAAATCATAAGGAATGCAAGAATTCATTGATTTTAATGTAACCAAAACACAACGGTAGAAACAATCCTAAAAATTAAAAAAAAAAAGAAATTTTTAAATTTTTAATCCTTAATTCATTAATAGGTTCGAAAATGTAATGATTGTTAATCGAGGAAAATAATTAAAAAAATAAACAAATAAAATAAAAAATAAATAAAAAACGATTTAATTTAAGAAAATCACGTTTATTTGATTTGAAGATAAAAACTAAATGTTAAAGTAAAAATTAGAATACAAGATTTAAAAGATAAAGTGAAATTCAAAACTAAATTACTAAGTGAGGATTCAAAATATTAAATACGATTTTAAGTTAAATAAAATCAGATGAATCAAAGCGTCTTAAAGAAGAAGTACCCTAAATAAGAACCTCATACTCGTTTAATTGCATGAATAAGCAAGGAAACGATAACAAACCATAATTGGAATTATCTTCAAGTTAAATTCAGCAAATAAACAAGTTCTGCTATTTTTTATCTCAACAGTCTCAATAGTGATTCTCGTTAGACTTTAATAATATTTTAGTATTTCACTATTTAAACGTTGAATCACTTTTAATTTATTATTAACAATGAACCTAAAACTAAGCATTAAAAGCAGCAATTATGAAAACAGATGCTGGTGAAAATATTATAAAAACTTAATTTAAAAGATTTTGATTTTTTTTCCGCTTAGATATTCCATAATTTGTTTTATTTAAATTAATTTATTTCTAATGACACTTAGACAAGTCAGATTCGCCAGCTATTTACGAATTAAGACAGGAAGGCGCTCCTTGTGCTTGACAAGAAAACGCCCCGTAAGGGTAAAAGTACGTATTAGCTAAGAATTCCATTGGTAGATGGCAGCACCACTCATTCGTGCTGCTACTGACTCAATTTGGATACACATCCGAAAGGGAAGGGAATTTTCTCTGGCCAAGGGCGCCGGCAGAATAATATAAAAGAGGATGCAACCCTCTAACAAACTACCCCCCTCCCCCAAATTTTTTTTAAATATTCTGTTATTACATTTTGTTTTGTTATTACATGTACTTTCATCTGTTAATTCTTTTCAAGATACATTTCTTCATTGTTAACAAGATATTTAAAAAAAAGTACGAATTTATGTGGTACGAAATGTGGAGGAATAGTGAAAATTCTTATGAATCCCTCGAATACATCGATTTAGTTATTGAGGCCACACCGTTTTATCTAGCTGTAGCGGAGGCAATCAAAATTGGCCTAACTCTTGGCCTCAGCTACTACTTGCACTATTGAACGCACTTTTAGTACAATGCGACACACCAAAATATGGAATCGGTCTACAATGCCTCACGAGAGATTAAGTAGTTATGCTCAGTGTGCATAAGAAAAGAATCAAAGATAACTCAGAATTCATTGAACAAAAGCAGATTTAGACAGCTAACAAGACGATTGCAAATCTTGCTTGATTAAACATTTTTTTAATTATTACGTATCAATAATTACTTAATTATTTGTTTTCGAATGAAAATATTTTTAATAAAAATTTTTTATACTCTATAATTGTTTATAAATAAAGCCAGGGGGGTGCAAGTGCACCCCCTTGCACCCCGCTGCCGGCGCCCTTGTCTCTGGCTCACTTATTCCACAAAGTTGCTAGTCGGTGGACCTGAACTGAGTTCAGGATCGAATTCCGGCCACCGTGGACTGGTTTCTGAGCCATTAAGATACCAATGACCCTTATTTAAATATAATACAATCAACGTATTTTTAATTTATTTTTTTATATTTTTGTCAATTAAACATTTGGAATCAAGCACTATGAGAAGTGGACAATTATGATTAAATCCTTCATTTGTATGAGAATAACTTAAAAGCAGAATTAGTTAAAATAGCAGGCGGCAGTAGTTGCGACACTCACTACATAATATATATATATATA